TTAACCAATAAAAAGAGATAAAATATTTTTGATATTTATATTTTCTTAAATTGAGGGGTTCGATATACTCTTTTTATTTAGCACTCATATTTCGCATAAGTAAAATTATTAATAATGCACAAGAAAGCAATTTTTAAAAGAAATATGTTCCACATTTTTCTGTTTCTATTTAATTGTTAATTAAATATTTACTCGTGTTCTTTTACTGTAAATTATAGTATGATAGTATGATATATATATAAACACTGAAATTTCATTACGAACATCATGTTACATTATTATATAGTTCCGTAATTAACGATGGCACAAAAATAGTAAATACGAAATGTAAATTGCATTTTGTCACGATTAAAATTTTCGCCGTTTAGATTTGCCACCCCTGACAAATGTCCGTGTTGTCTGTTCCTAGAGTGGGCCCTGATCCTGTATAGTTAATCCCCCAAAAGAAATGACAGGTGTTAATCCTTAGCTGAAAGGGTTTATGTGAGATCAAAAAAATTATAGAAGTTATGTCATCAAGACGTAAGTAGCATTCAAATAAAAAAAACAATACAATAAACATAAAAGTGTTTTAAAAACATCAAAAACAAAACAGCTGAGAAAGAACAGATTTTTATCTGAACTTGCTGGGGGCTAGCCGCTTGTCTACTTCTGTTTCTTTCATTTAATTAAATAACATAGACTCTTCCAGGTCAGATTGATGCGTGTGTACTCTTTGTCTGCACGGACCTTCATGCAGAAGTAAATACAATAAAGCAATCGCTATACTTTTTCATCAAATGATAGAAATGCGTTTATAATTCAAAATTATTTCAATATATTGATTGCTTGGTCTTAAAAATTTTTAATGTTTTTTGTTATAATTCAGATTCTATTACATTCAATATTGCTATTCACGAAACTTACTATTTTTTAAGTAGGCCATAATTTTTTTAAAAAATTCAGACATTGTGGTGGAATATACAACTGTAGTATTCATAACTTAAAAATATTACAAGAGTTGCACAGTTATAAGTTTTTTCAATTGAAAATCATTAATAAACTTCATTATAAATTAATGTTATATCGAGATTAGTGCTATTCAGAAAAATGCAAATCTCGGCTTTTATAATCATTGTTCACAGTTTGAATAGCTAGAGAACAGCTGTGCATTTTAATGACACAGAAAAATTATAAATACTGTTTTATATTCTATTTATCGTAACTTGGGACGTACAGTAAACAAAAAAAAAAAAAAAGACACATCCCCTTTGTTTATTGGTTTAAGTCACCCTTTGTTTATTGGTCGATCAATTAGAAACCTATTGTTTATATCTATTTAATACAATAGTTGTGTAGTTAAAAATTTTAAATTAAACAATTATAAATATATTTTGTTTAAGTCTTCATAACATATATTTAATATTAATTATCGACGACAGAAATAATTTAAACCGCTACATATTAACGTTAAAGTATGCTATAATAACTTTTCGAAGTAGTATCTCAGCAATTTTTAAATTGTTGTGACTATTCTGAGCTACTTTAACAGATGCAGAGAATTAAACATAAGCGATCAATATGTGTCAAGCCACTGCCTCTTGTGATTGACCAATGAAAAACCTCGATGCATTGAATCCAACGAAATGTTTGCTTATAGTAAGTGCCAACTTACGATGAGTAGACTATAGTCTTCTTTTCCATGTTTGGCACGGGGAGAGAAACTAGACTATGGCATTCCGTGGTAAGTTGTGATGTCCCTTTAATGTGGGTAGTACTTATATAAATTTTTGTTATATACGCAAAGAATAATATTTTCCGTGATGTGTTTTAAGGGTAACGAGTCCATATTCACACGTTACAGACTTAGAGAACACCCGGAAAACTCACATGGCTAACCTGTCCTGAAGAACCCATGACCGAACTCCAAGTATTTAAAGAAATGAACCACTTTGTCACCTGTGGGCTGAATACTTTGTGTTTGTATAATGTGCTTAGTTTAATAAATTCGCATTGCTGGCAATGCGAATTTATTAAACTAAGCACATTATACAAACACAAACGCCTTCTTCTAATTGACCTAACTGGCTTCTTGTCATTTTGTCATTTCAACAGTCATTTTTCTCATTCGTACTTTTTTGTAAAAAACATTACACAACAACAGAAGGAAAATCAATAATTTACTGTTGTAGCAGACAATTATAATTTTATCAAAATTTCAGTAAAAATAAAAATAATATGTGAATTTTAACAATTTTGTACAGGATATAGTTGTCCCAGAATGATAGAGCAATCTCTGCTTCAGCAGTTAAATTACAAATTACATTAGATCCCCCTATAACGCGGGTTCATGTAATTCAGATTCGTATATCGCAGCGAAAAAATTGCAACCGTATTCGTATAAAGACGCTAAAATTGACTCGTAAAATGCCGTAAAACGTCATCGCCGACTCGTGTCGCGACAGGATTGGTCGAATCTGGACCAATAGTGGACGAACAGCCGAACTTCTTACACGCTACAGAGAGTTTAGGCGAGTAAGTTGAGTTTATTATCGTCTGTACAGTAAGTAAATTAGGTACCGTAAGTCTAATACAGTACTGTAATTTTATATTTCTTGTGAAAGAAACGTTTCTTTATCAATGGCCATAAAAATTATTTCTATTAATGATGTCTCCAAAGTTCAACGAATTTTTCGCAGAAAAATAACTTATCAGAAATCGCGACCGCCGTGTGGTACGCTGCTCCGCGACGAAAACAAGCTTAAGCAATGGCGTCGTCGAACGGTGCATACTCGATAAGTAATCTTACAAATTTTTTTTTTTATAGCATAATTTATACGGATTATTTCCAAAAAATTATACGTGTTTTGGAAATGTTGAGTCGAATTAGTCTAGAATGTATTAATTTTATTGAAGAAAACATTTCAAACAGCCGTAGTCCGTAAACTTCACACGTGTCGGGCTGTGATTGGCTCACGTATTTAAGGATTCTTACAACGCCAAATTCTTATAAAGCGGAACGAATCTACCGCGTCATAGGGGGGTCAACTGTATATCAAAAATAGCTTACAGAATAGTATACAATACAGGACAGTAGTATATTAGGGGTAATTTCTACAACATTTATTTCTGGAATACGTGGAAAATTAAAGGCTCTATTATAAGAAAAAGAAAGTCATTGTCATTATGCTGTGCAAAATTACATCAATTTTACTGGAAAATATAGAACAAAAAATCATTTGGAAAACTCCATGCAATGAATTCTTGTACATAATAGTAATTTTCAAAAAACTTAGCAATTCTACAATATATCTAAGGCATATTACACTTTATATAGCCACAATTGCGTGAAAGTCAACAGTTTATAAAGTTATCAAATGATCTAATTATCAACAAAATGGAGCAAAATCTAGCAAAAAGCTGCTTAACTGTCCCAAAAACATTCAATTATGTCATTCGTTACCAAATTTTATTTTTAAAGTTCTATATTGTTCACTACAAAATTATGAAATCTCAATAAGCTTAATTTTGTGTGTAGGGAGGTTATAAAAAGTTATAAATGATATTATCGAATAAAATCGTCATTAAGTCTGACTTTACTTGAGATACACATGACCTCTTTTATTTTCCCACCCTTCAAACGCCAAAATATAACAGCCTCAATCCCTCTGGAATTCAACTTTCCCTGCAAAATTTCAGAATTTTTCAACAAACAGCACAGGAGTTATTAACCTTCAAACAGGTTAAACAAAAACGTTTCCCCCAATCCATACACTAACATCCATACATATAAAAAAACCTCACGAATTTTTCTGCATTTCTCGACGTTTCGAAGTCCTCTGAGTTAAAAAATAAAAAAACTTTAGGAGGTTATTTTTTGACTAATAGCCATACTCTACTTCTGTTAGGTATAATAGACTAGAAAGGTAAAACTGAATATTTAAAATATATAATACCAAATAGTAAACTGAACGAATTTTTGAAAAAAAAAGATGTATATTCTTTCACTGCATTTTTCTGACTAAAATTAACTCCTGACTTCTTTTAGAGTACTCGTTTGTTTTCGTTTATAAGTTTGAATTTTGATTGGTTTTGCCCATCAGGGTAGCAACGGATAAAGCTGCTGATAATTGGTAGTTATATGCAGGTTTGTGCCCGACCCTGTTTTAAGGATTCCGGGATTGTTAGAGGTATCCAACACAGCATTGGCGTAGCCAGAGTTGTGTTATCGGGGGCTTAGTACAGGCCAGCCTGTAACAAAATTGAATTATGTAAAACTATTGTTCATTAAAATAAAATTTCCATAGGAATCGACAATAACTTAACACACATATATGAAACTTCCTTTAATCAATATCAAACTCTAGTAATGCCTTAACCCGTAGAGACTAAACTGTACATAGAGATTACAGATACACTTATCACATTGGGCACAGAAAGCCGTTGACCTTTTTATTCTTTTTTTTAGGAATCAGAATTTATCAACTTTTCTATCACTTCACATTGTGAGGATATAAAGGATTATCGCGGATCCATTCGAACAATTATTTGAAGTTAAGCCCAATATTCAAAGATTAATCGCAGGCTGTATTTTGGCTGTACCTCATCTAGACTTTCAGTGGGTACACTACACCCAATTAAATTAGCTTCAGCTTTTTATTTCTTTTTACAAATCGGCTCAACACTTTATGGCTGTAATTTTATGGGGAGGGGCATCAGGTTAACTAGGGGCCGTGCCCCCATGCCCCTTTCTGGCTACGCCCATGCCAACACTTAAATTGAATTTAGATTTTTATTGACAAAGAATGGGAGCGTAAGAGCACAGTAATTGCAGCTGTAATAAAATATCTCAGATATATATGTGGTGTGACAAAAAGAAATTTGGTAAGTAATGAGGATATCTTGGTGCAGTGCGTTGTGATAGAAAATAGATTGATCGAGTGGATAAAGCGTTAGTTTCTCTCTGAATATCAAAAGAAGAAGTGTGTACAAAGTGCATGTGGTGATGCGGAAGAACACAGATGGCGTGGAAAACCAAGGAAAGAATAGACCTAAAAGGAGAAAGAGAATCTGGAAGAGAAACAAATTCTGAGTTAAACAAAACTCCGGAAAGGTTTAAAGAGAGTCATAAAAGTGGAAGAAGTAAAATTGCCCAAGATCGTCAAACATGGGTGTAGTACATGACTTCAGCAGGTCTCAGGATGACAGTTTGAGTGAGTGTTTCTGATACGCTAGGCCTAGATAACATGACGTTCTTCAGAAGAATGAATCTGCCAGAGTGCTGTCCACAGGAAATAAACTTTTTTTCTTCTTCACCTCTTTAAGCAATGGCGTGACAGTGTAGTAGCAGTAGTAGTAGTATTAGTTTATAATTTTCTTACAATTTTCATTAACAATGTTTTTCTTTTCTATTCCAGACAACATCACACAATAAAATACTCTTCACTGATCTGTTAGTGGATTCTATAATTTTTATTTAACGTCCTAAATTCGAAGAGTTGAATAACGAAAATGTTTGTGCTAAAAATTCTTTTAACAACTGCAGGGTTAAACTTATTTACAGAAGCGAGTATAATAATAACTCAATTAATATAATTATATCAATTAAATAAAATAATAACAAATATAATTATCTCAATTAAAATTAAAATAAAACATGTTTTATTATAATTATATTCGTTGTTAGTATTGAGTACGTTATAAATTCTTGCATTCTCTTTTCGATATAATGAACTATACGAAGAGATGTAGTATGATGCGTTTTTCATGTAGAAAGAAAGTGTTGTATACATATACGTCAGTTTGTATCTTGTAGATATTAGCAAAATACAAAACCAGAAGAGTATGCTTAATAAAAAGCAATTTAACAAGCAGCAAAAATTTTACTGTACGTTTATAGTAAAATTTTTGCTGCTGAGAAATATTATTAGACACGGAAGTAATAACGAAACGCTTATTAAGTTAAATGGTTTCAGTGGACATAAAGAAAAGCAAATTAAAGCTGAAATTGCCTCTAACAAGTCTAGTACAGCAGCAAATTAAATCCCAATATTTGATTGCTCATGGTGCAAAATTGCTTCGGCATGATAAGCAACTGTGAGTCTATGTAGAGATACTTCACAGCATTTCCAGTTCATTTTTTAACGTTTCGAACCCTTTTTCTCTGAGTATTTGAACTGTTTACACCGATTTTAGACGGTTTATCAAATGCTTATAACTGTGCCGATTTCTTTAGTAACAGCCAACATATTATTTGGATTGAAAAAAGTGCTTTTCAAAGGAAAGGTGGCTATTCCATAGAATAGTCCACTACGGTTTATTTAGGCTTTTGTTAACTAGTAATTTTATGCAGAATATAAAGTGTGTAAAATCAAAAGATATACTCTGCTTCGATGTATATACCAACACCTTGAATATCTTTAAGATAAAACAGTTTTATAAATATCAAATCAAAGAGAACACATTTGCTTTTTCTATTCATAACTATTCTATAGATTAGTTTAAATTCTTGAATCATGAAGTAACATACAGTTTTTAAAAGTATTCTTCGTAGAGGTATCTAGCACATGTCATTTACAATATAAATTCAGTCCTTATATATACAATAGAATGTTCTTTATGTGAATGATACATTAAATACATTTAGTAGATCACTTCCTCTGACCTGTAGCATTAAATGCTACTGGATTGAGGTACTCCTCTTTTAATTAACTCTGTTTCGCATATACTTTGAAGGTTACCTGTCTTATTTAACATAAAAAATTCGATAAATATACGATTAAACTAATTTTATTGTTAGCACTATTTATGCTTAGTTCATAGTTTCTGCCTTGCATATTATACTTACTGAACTTCAGAAGGATAGATCTGAGATCATACTTGATTAAAATTATTATTCTTTTAATTTTGATTAGGTGGTACAATATGCAAAAATGAAAGTAAAATAAAAATGGTTGCAGCTGAGGTAGGTTTTTTCCTGCAAGTTTACATAGCGTAATTAATTTACTAATTTTTATATTTATATTATAGATGCCATTCTATGTTGACTTAGACGAAAAACAGAACGAAGTTGTTGGCGGAATTGACGTAAAAGCACTTAACTTAGTGTTCAATAAATTAAATTGTCTTACGTAAGATATTACTCCATATATAAGAAGTTATGTTTGCTTAAACTATCATTAATTTTAATTATTTAAAAAACAAAATATTTTTTTCAGTTACGAAATACTTCGTCCTGAAACAATATTTGGAGTAGAAGACGAAAATGGAGTTTGGAATGGACTTTTTGGAAAACTGCAACGCCAAGTAATGTTAAACAACTAAAATAATTACCTTATTTTGCAAACACAATTAAAATTATCTCGTTTTCTTTAGGAGGCCGATTTCAGTTTGAATTCATTATATATTACGCCAGAGTGTTATAAGATAGTGGATTTTGCTGTTTCTTTTGACGCTGACGAAACCATTTTTATCGTTTCTTCTCCTAAAGAAGTTTCTAAATTAAAAATTATTTTCAGACCGTTTTCAATTACGGTGAGTTTGTAAAGATTAAAATGTTTTTATTGCGATAAATTCAACTATATAATTATGTTTTTGTTATGATTATAAACAGATGTAGAAATCGTAGTAATGGAAACTTGAATTAGATTGTTAACAATTACCGGTACATTTATTTTCCTGTTTGTTAAATATATTTTTTATAAGTTATAACGATTTTAACATAAACACATAAGGGTCACTACACAATACACAATGGAAGTGTCAAGTAAAAATGGAAGTTTTAAGTAACAATGGAAGTATTAAGAGAAAGCGACGTGCAAGACGCAGATGTAGTTTTATTCGTTTTTGCAAAAAATCTAACGTATTTTTAGACTCACCTAAAAGTTCTCTAATTAGTTCAAAAACAGGAGAACTCAATTCTTGCATTCTGTGAAAACGGGTAAGGTTAACTATAACGTAATAATTTTAATCTTCGCTATCGTTACTTTTGCCCGAGCAACGCCGGGCCCACCTGCTAATTTACAAATATTCAATTATTTAAATTACGAATACATTCCCTGCTTTACTCAAAGTTTACAAACAATTAACTTATATACAAATAGTAAGTAACAGTGTTGCCGTTCCTAGTATATTTGTATTTTTCTGGAACATTTTGCCCTTTTCAGTAAATTGAAAGTACATTTAGATTTTTAGTACATTTTCAGCACATTATAATATTTCAAGTACCATTTACGGTACAAATTAATATTTCACGCCTTAACAAAAAATGAGAAAAAATTAGTTTAATAAAGTCTCACTAGTGTCACTGCTTGTTAATTTAAATTATCCAATCACAACATACAAATGGTGTGTGTCTGTCGACGTCAGCAACATAGATAGTTGCACGTGTAAACGGTCTTGACTCAGTGGTCTTCGTTCGCACGTTCAGTTGTCTGCACATTCTCATCAGGACCTTGACAAAATTTTTCATGCCACGTGGTCCAAACAATTCAACTCCGTCAAACAAAAATAATGGACAGGTAAGAAAATCAATGATTTTAAACTTTTGTCGTCAATAATATCAAAATATCCGTTAAGTCAGAAACAAATTATTACAGAAAATAGTTTTGAAATTGTACGAGTATAAATA